CTCCTGCAGGTGGCGAAGGCAGTCCTTCTTGTGCTCTTCCCAAGTCTGGTTCGCCGGTTTGAGGCGAGAGCACATCCGACACTTCTCTTCTCAAGTGTACCGGACGTTGTGTACTCTTCTCAAGTGTACCGGACGTTGACGTCCGCGGTTTCTTCGCACGAACCGTTTCCCAGGCCTGTTTGGAAGGGGACCGAGGGCGAGATTGCTTAGGGCGAGAGGAGGAAGTAATCTTAGACGGGCCAGCTTGTGTAGTAACTACAGCAAGCTGTGCTTTGTCCTTTCCGGCTTTCCACCGAACCTCCTGACCGCTAGCATACAGGATTAGCTTCTCTAAATCCTGCCAGTCTTTGCCCTTATCGTCCATAGCGCAGCGACCGCGCAGTGCAGGAACTAAGCCCTTGATATACCAAGAGATTTGATCCGCAACACTCATATCATTCGCTTCGCGAACAATATCATAAAAGCGCTGCGTATACTCTGGTACGGACTCGTCTACTTTCATATCGTACTCGTGCGCATGCAAACGATCGCGTGCGGCCATCGCGGTGTCGCGCTTCACATCCCCATATTGTAACAGGAATTTATCACGCAACAAATCGCGGGTAAGTGGTTGCGCGCCGGACTTGTGCTTAAGGAAAAGATCTGCGGCCCACTCCTGAGCCTTGCCCGTAAGCCAAAACATAAAGTGCTCAAGCGGGTCCATTTGCGACAAGTCAAAACATTGCATAAGGAGCGCGAACCATGTCTTAGTATTAGTAATTTGCGAATCCTTCTTTCCACTAAAACGAGGTGGTGCAAGGATACGCTTATTTACCTCGGAGGGACGGGCAGACTTGGAAGGAGGGGCCGCCGAGCCGGAAGGACCACCGGCTTGCTTGGCGATGCCCTCGCCCCAGAGCTGCTTGACCTCTTCCAAGCGTACTTCGGGATTAAGGTGGCGCTGCAGAAGCGCCTGGAAAGCGCAATTCTGCAGCATATCCACGTCAAGAAACGCGGCCAGATTGCTGTCCAGCGTCTCGCAGATGCCATCAATAATTATCGTCTTACGCCTAGTGTCCGACGTACTCGGAGGCGGCGACGTAGGTGACAAATCCCGAAGCTGCGCTTGCACATCCTTCAGGGCGGAGGTTATTTCGCCCAAGCGCTCGCCGTATTCGGCGAGAATGCCATGAACCTCTCCCTTAAAGGAAGATAATTCCGCTTGAAGAGCGGGGACTTGATTGTCGCGAGCCGCGCGAAGCATTTCTTGGACCTGCGCGGCTGCCGCAGCCTGCGCTGGCGTACGCGCCGGAAGCCCGCCCGTAGAAGGCGAGGCGCGCTGCGCGGTATCCGATGGCGATTCCGCCGGAGAATCAACGTCCATCTGTGGACAATTAACAGGAATATTATTAATATGATGTTCCTTATTGGGAATAGCCAAAGGGCGTTCGTCTTCGTCGTCGGAATTAGCAGCCTCGGGCGCAGCAGGGTCCTGTTCCTGAAGGGATGCTTCGCGATACCTTTCATACGATTTTTGAAGCTTAAGGAATTTAGTCAAACGCTTTTGCGCGGCCTTATTGTAGCGCATCGCGTCAAGGAGGATCGAACTTGACCCTCGATACCAATGTAGCAGCTGACCGCTGAAAAGGTCTCTCGAGTTGCTGGCGGTCGCGCTCTGCGCGTATTTATAGCACCGTACTGTGTACCGGCTGCTACAGGTGCAGGTAGAGGCAGCGCGGCTCGCACGTAGTAGCAATCTTTATGCAGCATTCTTAACACCTGAGGTAGCTTCACGCGCAAGTTTGCAAAGGCTATCTGCAAAACCTAGGTTTGGAACTCGCCACCAGCGCCTCGGTGTGCTAGCGGGAAAGGGCGTGCGTCCTGTCTACTCTCAACCACAATGCCTAAGCACCGCAGCACAATTGAGGGACAATTCTCGCAGGGCTTGACGAGACACTCCTAACGCCCTATGCGTCCAATGGCACTCCTAACGGCCCAATGCGCAAATTTTACAAGTGCGTGCCTGCAGTGGCGGTTTACAGGATACGAGCCTAACAATGCTTAAGTACGCGATTGCATACAACGGACCTTGGATAGCGGCCTTTAGAGCCAACTGCTGTCGAACAGTGAGGCCTGCTGCTTGTTCCGCATTCAGCAGGCGGAAAGCGCCGCCGACCTCGGCATCTACGTCAAACCCTAAATCTAAAAGGGCAGCAACAATTGGCGAAATGGAACTATCGTCCTCGCCCCCCACAGAAAGCAGGGCTTGCCGAATGGTCACCATGTCTAGGTAGACCCGGACCCTGTGTGCTAATTGTATTGGAGGTCACTGTTGTATTTCGGCCAAGCCTTTCTCCTGCCTTCACTGCGTTAAGCTGGGTTAGTGGGACGTAAGGCCCAGTGCGTACTTGTTAGTCTAACTGTTTTTCAACGGCCCGTGTCTTCAGGGCCGTCATTTATAGCGCGCATTACGCTGGTTAGCTTATCCTGTTTTTGTTGTTCAGTGCGCACACACATCACACGCGACAACACACAGACACATTCATGCATTCGCACACGCGTGCGAAAGGAACCATCGACTGCCCCTGAGATGGTGACCAAAATCGGCGGCAGACCGAGGCGCACTCCCATCCTAACCTAGCCAGTGCAGCAGCTCCATCACTCTCTTCGTCCCTCTTATCCTCATTCCCCCACAGTAGCAGTACAGCAAGTCAGCCCAGCAAGAGCGTCGCTATGTATAGTGGCAGTACGTCCACCGCATGCAGAGTGGGTGTATGCCAGCACGCACTTGTGCCGCCAGGCGGGTGCTGCTTCCCTCCGCCAGGCACCGACCCATGGGTCACAGATGTGTCGCATTCGAAAGCGCATTAATGAAATGAAGGGGGGGTCGCATCTCACCATTCAACTAAGCATGCATGTGCTCGGTTGAATGCTCGGTAGCGTGCGAGTTTACCCCTATCAGGATGTTTGTTTGCATATCCCTCCAAGCGAGAGGGCTTGCACCTATGCTGATGTTCGTTCCAAGAAGTGAACTGAGGACTGATACTACGGTGAAAGATTTGCACGTAAATTTGCCCGTGCAATAAAACGCCCTGTAACTCGCTTACGCTAATCTCACATTCCAATATGCCACTGCACTTTCCTCTCCAGCCTGGCCACATTCTCTTCCTCGCAAACGTACTTGGGCACCTTACAATCCAACACCATACGGGCTTTGGAAACGCGGGCAGCTGCTTCACAAGGACCCCCCTATTTATCATACAGGTAAAGTCCAAACATGGGCCCCATAGGTGTTTGGTCCGCGGGTGTTCCGTACTCCGAAAGTTCCGGTGAGACTAGATGTGTCGAGAGACATGGAATTCGTTTACAGATAGACTCCGCCAAGAAACCTGAGATTGACAGACAGTTATACTGAACCTGGACCTGGACCTGGGATAGACCGACAGGCTGGCAATCATGTGTTGCAAACTTTTGGGTCTTGATCTCTGCTAGTCATAAAGCCGCGTGTCTCTCTTCATCGCTTCTCAGACTGACACGTTTGTGCCTGGCGCAAGTGGTGGTGAGCACCCACATCCACTCGTGTTGTACGGGCCCTTTACTCTAGCTGTGTCAGAGCGCACGAAGCCACTACTGTCAGAGTATCGAAAGGCAGACGTGTATGCAGTGAAGCCATAGCTGCCGAATGTCCTACACACAGAGTAGTACACACTTCTACGCAATAACGTCCTTTTATCTGTTAACAGCATTAGTGCGGACCTCCAGACGGAAAACATGGTGCAGGAAGGTTGAGAAACCGGAATAGCGGCGGGGACCTGCAGAACTGATGCGCCCGGAATGTGCGGCCTTTCAGCGAAAGCCATCATGGAGCCGGTTTAGGTGGCGACATGATACTAAGCCGACG